ATTTTATTTTTTATTTTTAATTTATTTTGTAAGCAGACTTGCCACATATCTGTATGAGAATAAAAGCAAGAAATGAAAAAAAAAACTTAACTAAACTAGAGCGTGATGTGGAATTTAATGTGAGTTTATCCAGAAGGTCAAGTATCCTCAGCATTTTAGGAATGATTAATTTCTTCTCCAAAGGAAATTGAAACCATTTCCTTTCAGAATAATACAATGAATGGAATCTAGTAAGGAAAGAGAAGCACTCTTTTTTAAACAAAATAGTTATTATACAAAATAGTTATTATTATATCACCAATACCTACAGTAAATATTAGCAGTCATCATGTCAATACTCAGGTAGTAGATAATCATCATTTTTGGAAACTAAGGAAAAACTATAACACTGTCCTTGTGAAATATTCTGTTAATAATTAAGGTCATAGCAAGCAAAAGTTGTTTTTGTTTTTTTAAAATAGCAAGGGTTTTGTTGTTGTTTTTAAACTAGAGAGGGAAAGGTGATCTCCACTAAAGTTTTTTAACTGATACAAATAAGAATTGAACAATTATCCTTGATCTGTTTTCTACAGAGAAAGAATATACCCAGATTTTAAAAGATGGAGATAAAGAATGAGTGGCTACAGTGTGTGATTCCTTTGAGAAATAATAGTCATCTGGTACTTGTCAAGGCAGTTGAGAGATAAAAACAAATAGGATTATATTTAAGGGGTTCTGTTCCCTAAAGGCATTTTAGAGTTTGGTTTTGACTACTGTACAGCATCTCTCAAATCTTTGCTGAAAACTATGAGACTGTACTTAAGGAGCTGTGAAGTACCCTGGAGAGCAGGTAGGGCTGGAGGGACCTAGAAAGAAGAGGATAAGGGGAAAGACAGTCATTTCTTCCCTTCAACTATGTATCAGCCTCTACAGCCATCTTTGTGCTGCCAAGCAGAAATACAAGGGCAGCAAAAGATGAAGTAGCATGCAAAGGAAAGAAATAAGCAAAGCTATGCATTATTTTAAGTGTAGGACATTTCATTGGAAAATATCTTGTATAAAAAACAATTCTGGATACTGGTGAAGGTTGCACACATATTCAATGTCACTGAACTGTACATGTGATGAATTGGTAAATGTTATCTATCTATCTACACACGTATATAAGATTTATTTAAAAAAATAGAAAATCAGTTATAAGCAAATCTTTTGATTGTAAAAGCAAATTTGTTTATCTGGCCTATGGTAGTATATGCAGTGACATCTATTTTGTGTGTCTTCTATAAGGAGATTAAGTGTGTGCTACTTTCCTAGACAATTTTTAAATATTTAAGGAACACATAAACCTTGCTTTTTACTACTTAGATTCTTGGACTGCATATCTTTAACAAGCATCAGTGTTCTGCCTAGTCTCCTAGGAGGCCTTACACTGATTCTATGTGTAAAACCACACCAGGCCTTCCAGAGGCTGCCCTTAGCAACCTGAGTTGTTTTGTCCCCAAGCACAGATTGCTTCAAAGTGCTGTTGAATATGCCTCCCTTAAACTGGCCTGTAGTCATCATCTAAATAGAGTAGAATCCTGCAAGTCCAGCCATCCTTCCACAAGGGAGGACAAATGTTAATGTAATTTACATTTTACAGCTCCCTGTGGTATCTGGCCAAAGCTGAGCAGTAGCTTAAACTAGTACCCTTGATGGACTTCTTTGCCTGCCCCTCTCTGCTTCAATTATTCTCTTATGAATTTCTTCTAAAGCAATTTAAAAAGAAATCTTATGCAATTGTATCTTTATCTCAATATCCATTTCTGGAGAACACAACATAATGTAACATCTCTATTTATACATACCTGATTGGTCTGAGAACCAGTCCAAGCATTACCTTGAAATACTTGGGGTGTGTAGTTGTTGATGTTGTTAGGTGCCATCAAGCATAGTATGACTTATAGTGGCTCCATGAACTGATCTGAACCCTGTCCTATCCTGTGCCATCTTCTGACACACTTGAGCCTATTGCCGCAGTCACTGTGTCAGTCCATTTCAATTTAAGATCTTCTTCTCTTTCATTGATTCTCTACATTTGCAAGCATGATTTCCTTTTCCAAGAAACAGCCCCTGCTAACAACATGCATAAAATATGTTAAATGAAGCTTCACCATTATTGCCTCTAAGGAACACTCTGAATGCTCTTTCTTCAAGACATACTTGGTTTTTTTTTTTGACAGTCCATAGAATATTCAGTAATCTTTTCCAACACTACAATTCAGAGTTATTCTTCTGTCATTGTTGTACATTGCCTAACTCTCAGATGCATAAAAAGTGATTGAAAATATCATGGATGGGGGGAGCTCTGGTGGCCTAGTGGTAAAGAGCTGCAACTACAATTCCAGAGGCGCACGGTTCGAATCCACCAGATGCTCTGCCGGGGAAGGAGGGACAATCTCCTCCTGTACCAGTCAGATCTGATTTGACGGTACACTCACACAAAAATAATAAAAGAAATTAAAAAAAAAAGAAAGAAAATATCATGGATGGCCTGAATCAGACACTATTTGATTTTCAAACTGTCATCATTGCTCCAGTACTTTGGAGAAGTCCATGAAAACTTTCCCAATGCAATATATTTCCTAACTCCTGATTGCTGGTACCAAGAGCGTTGATTGTTGACTCAAGAAAGATTAATTCAATGGCAAATTCAATCCTTTCTCCATCTCTCATGATGTTGGCTATTGGCTCAGTCATGCAAACTTTTGCTTTCTTGATATTGGGATGTAATCAATATGGAAGGCTGTAGCCCTTGATCTTCTGTAACAAGCACTTCAAGTTGTCTTCAGTTTCAGCAAGCAAGATTTTGTCATCCGCATAACACAGGTTGTTAATGAGTCTTCCCCCAATCCTAATGTCACATTCCTCTCCATAGAGTTCAGCTTCATGAATTATTTGTTCACATACAGATTGAATAGGCATAAAGGAAGGATGCAACCCTGATGCACACCTTTCTTGGTTTTAAACCTTGCAGTGTTCCCTTGCTCTGTTCAAATGACAGCTTCTTGATCTAGGTACAGGTTTTGTATAAGCATAATTATTTGTTGTGAGATTCCCATTCTTCTTTAATTTAGCCATAATTTATTATGATAAAACATGATAAATTTATTTATTATGATAAAAATATGATTTAAAACATGATAAAGAGCCAATGGTAATTAAAAAGAAGTTCAAACTTCACTGAAGGGATTGGCCAAGGGCCCTAAGAATTGATGGGATGGCAATTTCCATGTTTCAACTAACAGAGGCAGCGCTGGATGTGCTTACAGGTCTGTGCTAGGAAATTTGGAAAACAATGCCTGGCCAACTTAATGGGAGAAATCCATATTTGTTCCTAATCTCCAAAATGATGATACAATACAATGTGGAAATTATTGAATAATATCACATGTAAGAAAAATATTGTTTATGATCATCCAAAAATGGCTAGAACACTACATTGACAGAGAACTGCCAGAAGTTCAAAATGGATTTAGAAGAGGCTGTGGTTGCAAAATTGTCATTGTAGATGTCAGATGTATCTTGGCTAAAAGCAGAGAATACCAGAAGAATGTCTACTTATGATTTATTGACTATGCAAAAGTATTTGTGTGGTCGTGTAGGTACTATCAAAATGAGTAGCTCTTCTCATGATATCCAACTATCAGAGTATATTTAGGATGTTAGGGTGTTTCTGTAGATAAAAGTTCAAATTTTATGCATTTAAACTTGTTGTCTTTGAGCTGTGATGTTCAAATAGTAATGAATATCTCATAACTGACAGTAGAACAAACAAGTCTGTTTTGGAGGAAATGAAACCAGGATGATCCTTGAAGGCAAGGATGGTGAGGTTTTGTCTCACAGACTTTGAGCATGTTGTTAGGAGGGGCAATTCTTGGAGAAAGATATCACTGGAAAGGTGGAGGGTCAGAGAATGACCCTCAATAGGATAGATTGACCTAGTACTCTAACAGTGGACTCAAGTATGTCAGTGATAGGAGGATGGCACAGGATAAGGCAAGGTTCTGATCTATAATTCATGTCACTATGATTCACAGTTAACTTAACAGCACACAACAACTTCAACAACAATAATATAGGTATAAGGGGTTTCACTGCTAACCCAAAGGCAAATGATTCAAATCTACTAGCTGCTCTAAATACAGAGATACACAGTCTCCTTCTGTGAGATGTGTGGCCTCTGAAAACCTGCTTGAAGGTCACCTATGAGTCACTTCCAACTCACTGGCAATGAGTTGAGTTCATTGAGTTGATGGTGGCATAATTAATAGAAGTTGCACTGCTAATGCAGATTGGTGTTTCTGTCCAATCCCCAGCTGCTCCTGGGGAGAAAGATTGGCAAACTCTTCCCTGTGCAATTTTCAGCCACAGACCCAATGGAGATTCAGTTATAAGTTTATTTCATTTCCAAGACAATGAGTTTAAATATAGTTTTTATTCTAGTTACATAAAAGAGTAATTAAGTGTTCTTGTCCTCCAAGCAAAGAATTGTTCAATATATTCTATAAAAAGTATTAAAAATATTTTATAAGCAAGTAGATGTTTATGAGGATTTTCTAATAAAAAAGCAATAGGATTGGTTTTCAGTTAAATGCAGTCTCTAGTTAAAAATAAACACAAAAATTTGTAAGTTTTGAAGTGTTTTTTTTTCATTTTAAAAGAAATGATTACTTTTGTTGTTGTCACTAGACCACCACAAAGCTCCTACTTTTCTGTAGAATATATTGAATTAGGGTATCAGATACTATAAATTGTATTATTACTTGGGCAGTCTCCTCCTATAAAGTCCTACAGCCTTGGAAATCTAATGGAGGGCCACTATGAGTCAGAACTGATTGTATGGTGCTGGGTTGGGCTTTTGGTTTATGATCAATAACTAACATAATTACCATAATTAAACCAATTTCATTATGGAATTACAGTGATGTAATATTTTCTATTTTATTGGTTCTCATACAAATATTCTTGTTCTTTTATAGATAGAAAAAATACTTCATCAGCCTCATCTAGAAGTCATCCAAATTCTGCTGGTAGTGAAGAAGGCTCTTCAGTGGAGTACAGGGACACTCACACCGACACCAGTTCACGAGAAAGTACCAGAAGCTCATTTTCTCAGGAGGTGAATGAAAATGATGAGCCAAGAAATGAGGAATCCCTAATAATTAAAATTCAAGACCAAGAAATCAGAGAAGCAAATGTGGAAACTAAGCCAAGGCCAATAGATGAAGGCTCTGGGAATATTCTTAAAGGAGAAAAGGAGACAGGGGCCAAAGCAACTACAGAGAGCATGTCTGCAAAATCCAAGAAGCATGTTTCCAAGAAAAAAAGGGAAAAGGATCAGAGTACTCTTTGGGTAGGAAGCCATGCTAAAGCAAAGGATGAAAAGGCAGTTTTCCCTAGTGTGTATACAGGTGGTAAGTACGGCCATTGAGCTGAACTGCCCCCCATGCATGGAAGTTGATTTGATCACTGCTTTCTGCCAACACCTGGATTGTACATTCCTGCTAATGCCAAAAAAATGAACTTTCCCCTGTTTCTTTGTCACATAATCATACATGTGTTTAGCTTGCTGTTTTCTTTCTATTGCATGTAAAAAACTTGGTTGAATGTTTCCATATAGCATGCTTCACATATTTTCTGTAAATTCTTCCCTTTGGTAATTCTATCTCATAAATCAAATAAAACACAATGCATGTGTGAAAGCAAAGATGTGCTGCTTTTTAGAAAGTATTTAATACTGTCTATGCTATTTGCTCCTAACTATGTGTGCATTGCCTCCCATTGATCAGCTGCTTACTCCATACCATCCATTATCCTAAATGCTTGCATATATTGACTCATCCTCACATGAACTCAGGCATTCCATAATTAGGTTATATTATTTCTTTTTGTAGAGGAAAGAAATGTGTGAGTTAGAAAGGTTAAACACGATGATTATGTAGCTAACAAATGGCAGGCTTAGGATTTGCATACACTTCAAATGTTTCCAGAGTTCCTAAAGATTTCTTCTATCTGTGAAATTTAGATTCAAATGTATTGTTGTTGTTAGGGCCTGTTGCGTCCAGTAAAGGTAATAGCAACCATATGAACAATGGGTCTGATACAGATTCAAATGAAAATTCAATGAAAACTTCTAAACTTCCATTTGAGTTCTTTTCTGAAACTAAGCTACTTTTTAATTTATGGACTTCTTGGTCATGTAGATGCTTTTATATTACGTAGGAAAGACTAAAGGGTATTAGGATAATCATTTTCCAATACCTCAAAAAAAATGGAACATCTTATTTATTTTTTTTTCTCATAAAAACAGAGTCAGTGAGGAAGAGAGACACTCTCAGGGAGATGATTTGGTAACAATGGGCTTAAACACTATTCAGTTTGTGAGGATGGAGCAGGTTTGAGCAGAGTTTTATTCTGTTGTGTATAAGGTAGCCAAATGGAGCCAACTCTACAGCACCTAACAAGAACCACATACTTTTATCAACTTCAGGGCAGCAATTAGAGGTTTCAGTTGTGTTCTATGGATAGGGCAGTTGAATTGTGCCTGCCTGAGACCTGGATCTCACATAGACACCTTCTGCTCTGTAATAAGTACCATGGCCTTTTCCTTCTTCTTTCTCTTTTTGCCTACATAGTAAGTATATTTTTTTTTGTTCCAAGATAGAATTTTGTTTTCACACATTAATATTTTGGAAATCAAGCTGTTTTAAAACTTATGAATATATTTAGTGTCTAATTTTATTTCACAATACTAAACAAATGCCACCAAATGAATCCTAACTCTAATAAGATAAAGTAGGACTGCTTTGTGGTTTTTAAGTTTGTAGACAAGGAGATTGTCACATCTTCCTCCTGCAGAGCAGGTGGCGTGTTCAAAATGTTTGCATTTCAGTTAGCAACTAAACGCTTTAACACCACCCAAATAGGGCTCCTCAATATTTACTTTTAGGTACTTGGAATTTTTTTCCATTTTTATTTTATATTGGTTTGATTACAAAGTTCATGTACATTGTTTCACACTATTCTTCATTCCCATTGTCTTTCATACAATCATTCCCATTCATTATATTTTATAAGCTTAATCACCATTGGACCATTACCCTGTCTTTTCAGGTTGCTGTTCTATTTTTTCCCATTTTCTTCAGCCCCTCTTTGCACCCACTGAAGTGGGTGCAACTCTGTGATTTTTACCCTACCCGTCCTTACTCCTCTACTCCTACCCTTTAACCCTTGGATTCCCATACTTATTTTACTAGTTATCCCATTTTTATCATAATGATATTATGCAGTATTTATCCTTATGAAACTGAATTAGTTCACTCAGCATAATGTTCTCCAAGTTATGCAGTATTTTTGAAATTGTTGCTCCTGAGTGCTGCTGTAGAATCTCATTGTGTGAATGAATAATCTTTAGCCAAGAAGCCAGAAAACATATGTTGATGTAGATGCTTTCAAACAGCTACCAAAGAAAGTACAAGTGATTGAAGAAACAATGGAAGCTGCAAATAAAGAGAATATGCTATGGGTAGAAAACTAGAAGTATTTTTTTAATTAATTTTTTCATACTGGTTTATTTACACAGTTTGTATAAATTGTTGTTCACTGGATATTTCCCATTACTTCACACCCACTCCCCCATCATATTGTGCAACCATATGATTAACGTCCCTCCTACCGATCCTCAGCCCTCTGCTCCACCCCTCTCCTCACCTTGGATCCTCATACATATTCTACAGTAATAGTCTTAGTCAACATTTGTTCTTATCAGACTTAGTTCACTTAGCATAATGCTATACAGTGGCTCCCAAGGTAGGTAATGATTTTCAAAATAATTGCTTCTGCCTGCTGCAAAGTATTCCATCCAGTGAATGTACCATAATTTTTCAATCCATTTGATTGTGGTTGGACATTTAGACTGTTTCCAAATTCTTGCAATGGTGAAAACATTGCTATGAACATTGATGTACAAGTCTCCATTTTTGCCTCAGTTCTCATTCTTCAGGGTATATTCCAAGTAGTGGAATAGCTGGGTCATATAGAATTTCTATGTTCAGCTTTTTAAAAAAAATTCTTTTAAAAAAATTTAGACTAGTTTATTTACAAAATTAGAATACATTGTTTTCAAGAACAAATGACTTTAATCTCCATCACCCCCCTCATGAAATTTCACAACCCGATGATTAATCCCCCCTACACCTAAACATCCACATCCCTCTGCTTCCAACCTCTCCTACCGTTCTTGGATCCTTATACTCATTCTACAATAATAGTTTTATACAATCTTTATCCTTGTGAGACTGAGTTCACTTAGCATAATGCTCTCCAGTCCCTCCCAAGTTAGATAATGATTTACAAAATCATTGCTCCTGTATGCTGCATAGTATTCCATTGTATTCAGCTTTTTGAGGAAGCACCAAACTGCCTTCCTTAGTGGTTGTGACATTCTACTATCCACCAACAATGTATAATAGTTCCTATCTGACCAACTTTTATTACTTGCTATCTTGTTGAACTTTGCCACTGCTACTGGAGTGAAATGATATCTCATTGTGGTTTTGATTTTCATCTCTCTTATTGCCAGTGATTTGGAGCATTTCTTCACGTGTCTGTTGGCCATCTGAATATCTTCCTCTGTGAAAAGTCTTTATTTAAACTTTTTATATGAGAGCCTTGTCTGAAATGATATTGCTAAATGTTTTTTCCTCTCAGTCAGTAGGGTTTTTTTTTTTCACTCTGTTGGAAAATGTTTACCCATTCATGAATTTTATCCTCCTCAGATTATGTATTTCTAGCCCTCTCTTTTTACCATATACTAGACTGTCTAAACTTTATCTCAGTTTGTCTCTGATGAACTTTACTGGTTTGGGCTTTACTTTCAGGTCTCTGATCAACCTTCAGTTGATTTTTGTGTCTGATGTGAATCCTATTTCAGCTTTCTGCAGGTAGCAGTCCAGTTTTGCCTCTCTAAAGTACTCAGGAGCAACAGTGTCTCTCTGGAGACTAAGGTGCGCCTGATACAGGCCATGGTATTTGCAATCGCTTGTTATGCATCAGAGAGTTGAACAATGACTAGGGAGGACAGAAGGAGAGTGGATGCTTTTGAGCTGTGGTGCTGGAGAAGGGTACTGAATGTACCCTGGACTGCCAGGAAAACAAACGGATTTGTCTTGGAGAGGATTAAACCGAGCTACTCCTTGGAGGCAAGGATTCTGGGGCTTTGTCTGACATACTTTGGACATGTTGCCATGAGGGACGAGTCCTTGGAGAGGGACATCATGCTTGGGAGGGTTGAGGGACAACGCAGGAGGGGAAGACCCTCTATGAGATGGATTGATTCAGTGACTGGGATAATCGGGATGGGTGTGTCAGAGGCAGTGCAGCTGGAGCAGGATAGAGCAGGGTTTAGGGCTGTTGTGCATAGGGTCACTATGAGTCGGAAACGACTCGATGGCACATAACAACAACAACATAGACAGCTGGGTCTATTTCTGGGTTCTCAGTTCTGTTCTATTGTTCTGTGTCCCTGTCATTGTATCGGACAATGTTGTTTTGGTAACTTATCACTGCATATTAGGTTTTGAGGTTAGGGAGTGCTGTGCTTCTCACTTCATTTTTGTTCTTCAGAAGTGTTTTCTTGTTCAGGGTCTCTTGCCTCTCCAAATAAACTTGACAATTTCCCTTTAAGCTCCTTGAAAAATGAATTTGGTATCTGTATTAGGGTTGCATCAAACATCTAGATTGCTTTTGATTGATGTTGTTGTTGTTAAGTGCCTTGGAGTCACCTGCAAGTCAGCTACTCTATGTAGAACAGCCCCAAATCCTGCTTTATCCTGTGCCAATCTTATTGTCTCTGACACACCTACCCCACTATCCTAGTCACTGAATCAATCCATCTCATGGAGGTTCTTCCTCTCTTATGCTGTCCCTCCACCCTCCCAAGCATGACGGCCTCTTCAAGGACTGGTCCTTCCTTGCATGTCAGATGAAGCTTCAGAATCCTTGCCTCCAAGGAGCAGCCTGGTCTCACCCTCTCTAGGACAAACTTGCTTATTTTCATAGCAGTCCACAGTATATTCAATACTCTTCTCCAAAACCACAGCTCAAAGGCATCAATTCTTCTATTATCCCTAGACATTGTTCAACTTTCTGACTTGCTATGCTTCTGTAGGATTGTCATTTGAAAATATTGACTCTTCTTATCCATGAACAGGGAATATTTTCCCACTTATTTAGTTCTTTTATTGTGTCTTACAAAAATGTTCTGTAGTTTTCTTTGTAAGGGGCTTTTGTATCCCTAGTTATGTTCACTCCTAAGTATCTTCATTTGTGATTGGCTATTTTAAATAGTATTTTTTTCTTGCTTTCCTTCTCTGAGTTTTCTTTGTTATTGTAGAGGAATTCATCTTCTTTTTTAATATAGATT